TCTAGAGCGTCCCTTCCTCCACCATGCGTAAGAATGTTTCAAAAATAGGTCTGTAGCTAAAGCTGCAAGATAGAAGAATCTTCTAGCCAAAAAGATGGCAGATGCAGCAGATGTCAACGGATTTAAAACTTGGAGTTCATGTGACTCCTTCTAGACTTGAGTCTCTAGAGCGTCCCTTCCTTCACCAAAAATACTGTCTGAAGTCTGTAATAAAAGTCTAAACTGCAAGATAGAAGAATCTTTTAGCCAAAAACATGGCAGATGCAGCATATATCAACGGATTTAAGACTGGACTGGCACCACCTTGCAATGTCATCCTCTCATTGTTATCTGTAATGTAAATTATTTTTAAAATGTATTTAATAAATAAAATGTTCGTTTTATTATTTCAATAATCTGACCTCTCAACTCAACTACACTACACAAACACCTTTGTTCGCAACTGTACTGACGAAACCTCGATATTATACTGTTCATTTAAGATGGCAAGCTTTTTGCTGCGGTAATGCACTCTAGGTAACCGTGTGTGATGCTTATTGCTCATAGTGATTTTCGATACAGAGCCCCGTACATACGTTATACATAAATTATGGAAAGAAAACACCCAGACCAATACAAACAAATATGTATGCAATTTTAGTATGATANTAAAAAATCTTCTTCACATTTATTTTTATACACATATCTAATAAACCCAAGTAAATTCGGTAATCCACTAATATCTGTTGATTCATCAACTTGAATCGCGTAATAATTATTTTGTAATCGTTGCGCGAGTTGATGTTCAACATCATGTGCCATTTCATGAATGCGACGTGCAACTGTATCATTTGAAAGTGGTATTTTATCCAACAATTTCGAAAATTTATCTCCCAATACACAACTGACCATATCTTTAGCTGCTGGTAAAATCAACTCTTCAGCAATATTGTATGGCTTGCCAGTCTTTGCAATTTTATATGCCACAAGGAAAGACGCACGTAAATATTCAGAGTTAGTAGCCAAAACGGTTTTCATAGTCTTTTTCGAAGAATCCAACTCTTTCTTTTTTCGAACAAAAAAANCTTGGATATGATTTGTATTAGAAAGTGCTGTGAGTGTGACGCTTGAACGGAAGGAAGTCAACCTAACCTAACCAACTGCGTATTCCCAAACTGCGTATTTCTATACTGTGTAGCCGCGAGAGCTCTTTGGCGCGCTGTCTTCGGCGAAGTATTGCGCGCGCAGATTTTGACAGCGCGAAATACCTACTTTAGCAGAAATACCAAGCCTTAAATGAACCTTTCGCGTTTTATGATAATAGATTCCCCGAAAATACATAAAACCAAACCCTACGAACGCTATTATCTACAATACATAAATATTCCATTCCGAAGGGAAAGTTATCCCGCCAAATGTGTTGTTTTAGTTACTGGCCACCTTTAAGGAGGTGAACGCGCTAAGCACAAAGAATAAAAGAAGAAATAAATCGCATTTTCATACAAATCAAATGCTTCACTTAAACGAAAATGTATGGATCTCTCATTTGTCTCTTTATTGCTGGTGTCCCCTCAGGAAAAGATTGATGGTGGAGATGATGAGCACATTCACCCCTTAAAACAAATGCCGGTTACGACCGGTTATTCGATTTTGATATATTAGGTAGGTATATGTCCATATATGCCATGGTTAAGTGCGTTAAGAGCACCATTAAGTATAATAAAATTAAGCCAATGTAAAGTACTTATATTCAATAATCTAGTTAATAAGTAATTGGGCAGCAAAAGCGATCAAAGCAATTTTATACTTTGCGTATACGCAAAGTATTCCCAATTATGCAAAGGTCTTCTGTAGATACCCAAAGTTGATCACATAATAATAAATTCTATTACACTCCCACCCAGTCCCCTTAAGACTACCCTCGCCGAAATTATATCAGTTTCAATTTTAATGAAATTTTACCGAAGAAATCACGAAGATAAGAAATTAAACTCCAAATTGACTCAGAATTTAGTGATGAGGCTATGTTACAAAATATAGATTTTTAAGTACATTTGGTACAGACCTCCACTTTAAATTAAAATTCAATTAAAAAAGCCGTTACCATAAGTATTGTGCTAACAACATAATTCTGTTAATTAAGTTGGGTCTTAGTTCGTAAAAGTGGGCTCGCAATTTTAGGACTATGGTAGCGTATAATTTTAATTTCATTCTAAGATAAATTCACTAAAATAATATCATTGAAGTCTGTCTGGGCAAGTAAAAGTCTGTATAATAGTTAAGTGGTTAAGTGATGTGCAAAGGCATTGTTATACGAGTCAAATACTACATTATTTAAGGGTCAATTTGCCAATTTTTAAAAGATAAGAAACCACAAACTTCTCTGAAAGTTTATTAAATGCAAAGTTGTTAGTAATAGAGGCTTTTGGCGAACAAACTTGATCCTAATTACACAGGAGTTGCAGTAGTGAGGTAGTGGGAACGAGATAATGGGGATAGACCCATAATAGTAGAGCAGGTAAATTACACAAACTATTTCTTGAAAAATCTGAAATAAACGATGTTACTTTCACCAAGCAGAGACCAAGTAAGAGTTTTGGCATCTTCAACACTATCTTTACTAGGTTGTTTACCTGTCTTAAGTCATACCTGTTTCCTAGAGATAGGTGGTACCTACGACGTTTAGGATCAGTTACAGGGCTCAGTGGTCGTCACGTTCATGTTCACGCAAATGAGGTAATCAACGCAACGGTAGATATATGAATACTAAGTGTAAAGCCATAAACAGACGTTGTAATCATTTATGAATCTATATTACAACGAATAAACAATATCTCTATTGAATTATTGTCATAAAATAAAAATAGATAATTGCCGCATCAATAATTTGGTGCGTTTTTTTCCATGAACGATATTAATATTCATACAATGCAATAAACCTTTCTCACCAATTATCGCCGGATCAAAACGGTCGAAAGTTAAGTGACTTGTCATTAATAATCGTTTTATCGCTATCTCGGACTTATTTAGAAATGATCTAAATATAGCATCGGTTTTTATTAATGTGTCGCTCCGTAAATAGGTTCAGACTGACATTTTCAAGTATCAGCCACTATCAACGGACTGCGAATGTCAATTTAAGTATATATATTGGTTCGGTCCCCGGCGAGTTGGTCTGCGCGAGCGCACCGGGTAGTGTCGCGCGCGCCCTTGGTCGCTCAATAAGCAAACAGCGATGCCTTTGTAGTCGGCTGCCAGTGGCTTTCATAAATATACACATTAGTGGTTCTTACTGAAAAGCTACTTGTAATTTATTCAAAGTTCCAGACATAGGAATAAGATATAGAAATGCAAGAAAGTGAGTATTTTTAATTGTAATTAATTATCACAAGTTTCAGTCATCAATCATCATATTTATTTATGACACTAATAGCATTAATACTTCAGTTTCATAATTTATTATTGGTTCGTCTCTTAGATTTGACTATTTTTTTTGCATATTTCCATTTTAAAAATATTAAATTATAAGCTGCGCAATGCGGTTGCTATTAATAGCAAATCGTTTGATTTTTTTTTATTAATTTTACATCATAAAACCATATTCATTATTTTTATGTTTATATTTTGACAGTGTAGTGGACTAGTCTAGTCTTGTGGAACAGTTGCGGATTCAATTCCCGCAAAGGCCATACCTACCTATTGTAGGTATATGGGTAGAATGTATTTGCTTTATCTACTGAAATGAAAATATTTATTTTAAATAGGCACAAGTTACATTTAACAATAAAATCCTTTGAAGGCCTGTTTAGTTATGGTTACACAAATGGTTGCGTTCATAACATAATTGAATTTTCATTTACGGAATAATTCAATATTATTATGTTAAATCTAACATATAAAATTAAATTTATTGTGTTGAAAAGTAATAATTAAAGTAAAAACATGAGTTCTGATGTTGCACTTATCACAGAAAGATAGAATAGAACAAGCGGTTATCTGAATGTATTGTTACGGGTAAGTTAAGATATGAAAATCTACTGAAACTAGGATATAAATTTGTTTCAGTAAACTTATAACTATTTTTTATGTTAACTAAACATTTTGTGAAAAAAATAAGTCTATGCGTCTATGTTAGATTTTTTGAAATGGTCCACAGCACGAGCGAACAATTAAATGAATAAAAAGCCGCGCGTAGAAACTGAAAAATATTTTCATTTATTTTAGACTAGCGTCCGCCCGCGACTTCGTACGCGTGGATCCCGTTTTACTCCCTTCATCTATCTTACGCGGTTTAGATTTTTTCATACAAATGTTTTTTCCCGCTAACTCCCGTTCCCGTAGGAATTATGCAATATCCTGTTGTAACTAAGCTTTAAGTTTACTAAACTTAGGCGGTTTGCATTTTTCATACAAAAGGATTTTCCCGCTAATTCCCGTTCCCGTGGGAATTCCCAAGTATACTATAACCTGCCCAGGAGTATGAAAAATAATTGTACCAAGTTTCGTTAAAATCCGGCGAGCAGTTTTTGTTTCTATAAGGAACATACAGACAGACAGACAGATAGACAGACAAAAAATTTACTGATTGCATTTTTGGTATCAGTATCGATCACTAATAGTTATTTTGAAAATATATTTCATGTACAGAATTGACCTCTCTACAGATTTATTAAAGTATAGATTTAAAATAAACGTGATACGAATGTCAGGGTTATTACTAAATTGCATATTAAAACGTGAAAACGGCTGATAAATGTAGATTATCAGTAATTTTATGAATGACATAATCACATTATTATTGGTTCCTGCTAAGTAAAAACGTAATAAATACTCGTAGGTAGAGCATTATATACCTCTGCAAGTTCTAAGTAGATGCAGTAGTTAAAACACCCTTCATAATGTATTTTTCTATGTATAATATAATATGTATTTAAAAAAAAGTATTTGCCTTACTTAGTTTGGGACTAGCGGAGCAGTGTAAAATGTCCAAGGATATTTATTTATTTATTTATTATTATCGTACTCAACGACGATTTTTATCTCAGGATTTAAGTCCTCTTATTTTTCTTCTGTCCTAGGTAATGGTGAAATGCAAACGTCTGGTTTATGTACCACCATAGAGTCTTTTCGTCAAGGCTCATTAGGATCTATGACTTGACATCCACTAGTGCATTGGAAAATGAGTTGATACATATATAATTTTTACATAAAGAACCGAAAAAGATCTCCAATCCGCCTGCCAAGGGAGATTAAAGCAAAACCCTTTACTAAAGTGGAGGAGGTCCAGCAGTGGACTGTAAAGGGCTGTTGATGATGATGATGACATAAGTAAACCAAAATTAACGGAACCGTGTATAAATAATAACTACTCATGTTTGTTACCAGACTCGGATTATTGTAACAACGCAGACAATGTATAAAATGTTTCTCATCACTTTCCTTTGAATCATTTTCCCTCCATTTTCCTCGAATTTATTACCAAGCATTGTTTGGATTGCGTGGCTTGCGTGCGTCGAAAAACCGGCCAATCGCCCTGACCTAGCTTCCCAGCGACTGTTTTCTGAACATTTATTCAACCATGTACTCCTGGCCTTAATAATTGGCTAGTAACCGATTAAACTTAGTCAGTTACACCAACAGGTAAATTGGAACAGATTGTTTAGACATCAGATTTGACATAAATATCTTATTTACTCGTGCCTACTCCTCGGTTAAGACAAACTTTTGAAGGATACTTATGTACTTCATTAAGGCTTTATTATTTTCATATTTATTTACTTATTCTCAAAAAAATGCTTTGTTACAGTTGAAATTGTCTTCCAATATACCTATCTACAGAAGATTTCAAAGTAAGACAAAATTTAATTTAAAAAAGATCGTTAATTCTTTGCTGTTAATTAACCTGTTCGTGATTTGCGTAATATAAATATAGTTATAGAGCTCTAAATTCATATAACTACAGTGCAGTTAAGAGAAATCACTTTTAGGGAAATAAAACATCAACAAAAACGTTTCATTCACTACTCTCACAATTACAACCAAAATAACGTTGATACTCTACAAGTGTTGTTTTTCTTTTTATTTTCGTTACGGTAAATTGGTATTATCTAACAGATCTCACGGAACCTTGACCGTACACTTAACATTGACTTTGAATTAACAAAAAGTTTATCTTTAACAGTAAAAGAAGGGCACCTTTATAGATAACATTCTAAATTAGTTAAAAATAGTTCAAGAGACATCGCGATCAGTGGAAACGTATGCTGTCAAAACTTACTACTTAGTTAAAAACTATTTCTATGATGAGTTAGAACGAGTCCCGCGGGGCGCGGTCTTGCTTAACTGACTTGTCTGGAATGCTTGCAGACTTACTGGAATGCAGACCATCCATGACGTCAGACAGCGTCAGATTCGCGTTTTAGTCTGGTAACACTTAACGTAGCGATAGTTCAGCTTATACGGAGCCCTGACTGTCGTGATTCCTAAACTCGTCTGATGAATCAGTGGCCAATGAATCTAAAAAAAAGCCACAGAGACTACTGACAAAGCTGCTAAAGTGAATACTTACCTATTGCAAAATCAAGGCTAGCTTTCATGAGGACGAAACAGACAAATGGAAGATCACAAAGAAATCATTTGTACAATAAAATTATTCCTGCAAGCATAAATCTTTCTGCTTTCACAAAAACGGAGCTTTATTTAGTAATATTAATTAAAGTTTTAATGAACCTACCTTTTACTATCTCTTCTGAAAAGGAGATGAATAACGCCGGCATCAATGAAAATAATAACCTTAATAATTAACGTACCTTGTTCATTCAATGTTTGCTGTTTATTATTTCCTCGTTCCGGAATAATATTGAACAAACCAACAATAACATTACAAACATTCTTTCATCTTCATCTGAGATTTTATTGAACGTGGATAAACCTACCAGATTAATATAAAACTAGGAAATAGGCAAATCAAAACTCGACCTACAAAATACTCAGAAATGGAGCACTTACTTAATTAATTTTCGATTGCTAAAATATTTATTGAAAACTTTATTTTTATATATTAAAATACTTAGAAAATAAGTTTGTCAGAAACATCTTTGCGTGAAGTTCAAGAACCATAAATGTTCATAAATTAATAGCTCGGAATATTATTTGGATAAAACAACCTTATAGTTTTATTAATATCCGTTCGGTGCGTTTTTTTGTTAGAGTAGGTACCTAATAAATTCATTAAAGAATATATTGGACTATAATGAAAAGTGTTTTTGCAACAACGATCTTCAGTCATATGCTTAATATGGAAGGTGTTAGGTATCATTAATCGAAAGCTGGCGAAACCTTTGGTATCAACATTCATATCTGGTCATCGTGATGACATGTTTACATAACAACTTATATGATTTCACTAATATAATAATATATCATAATCATCCGTTACTTCGTCCATGGTTATGAATGAGTCAATTCTTTGCATAAGCACGCTTTATTTTCACATGAATCAATGCTCTGATCCTCTCAATAACATTCAGATTTATCTCGCCTCATTTGCTACAGATAAGGATGCGACCACGGGCTTCGATAACGGGGTTTATACTGTGTTCTACCACAAGGAAGCGAAAACGTGAGTAAGTAGACGCATTACTCTAGATGATAAGTGAACAGGGAGAGTTTGTCTTTAATAGCTCATCGAATTATGAATGAGTGTGACGGTCTGCTAGACACGAAGAGGGTTGTAGCTGCTATGTCTGCGTCATTGTAAGAGACGTTGCCGAAATCAATGTTAAACTTACAATAGACATAGTGGTGGACAATTTAAATATTAAACTTTCATATTTTATGTAACAGAAAATTTAAAATTGTGCAAAACTTAGTGGAATTTCAAAAAGTTGAAATGTTTCATATTGCAGAGCCCCAGAGTTTTTGACGGCCCACAATGAAATTAAAGCAAAATGTCCGAGTGACGACAAAAAGAAACCGTGGCTGACCACCGTAGTTCCTGTGATTTGCAACTATTTAACGTTAACTATTATAGGTGAGTATGTACTTGATTGATAGAATATCTCATTCAGTGAATTTTAATTTGTACCTAACTGATAGTTATTTTATGCAAGAAATTGCTTACCATATTAACAATTTAAACTGACATCCACCTCGTATTTAAACAACAATTTATTCATTTTAAAACCACTTCCTAGGTAAAGTAAATAAAATGGCAGATTGACATAATCAATTAATTCTTTCTAAAATACATTTATTATTTCATTCACGTTGAATTGCAACCTGAAAAAAATATATTTTTTGTTACACGTAGTAACTTAATTTTTTTTAAGGAAACCATGAAATAACTTCCTACTTTTTAAAAATGAAGGTGATCTACGCAACCGTAAAATACACTGTGTCAAACAACAAGAACGTGTTTATTGTTGTTTTTCAATCGATTACAACGTTCGATCGATTTATTAGGGCAACAAAAAGTTATTGATGTAGGTAAGACTTGAAATGCAGAAATGATTACTTACTTTTACGTATTTGCATTTTGAATAGAATAAAGTATTTTCTTGATCTAAGTGAATCAACCCGTTTAGACCGGTACCTAGGTATTATTATTTTTTCAGTTAATTGTACTCTTAGGCTGAATTGAACCACGCTGAGTTTTTTGTACATAACGATAGTTACGGTCAAAGTTCGGACCGTAACTATCGTTATAGTACAAAAACATAAAACAAACAAAACAAAAACATAAAAAAGCACCGGTTATCGTTAACCGGTGTTTTTTGTATGGAGCTTGACAAATTTTTGACGTTTATCAAAGTTAAAGTAAGATGGTGCAACCCAACCTTAGATTATAAGTACTTTTGTTTTTAAGATTATTATTTAGCAATGCTTCATTACCGCACTACATAATTAACGTGTAGTTTAAAATAAAGACTAGATAACAAATAAAATAATTTAGATTAAACCGAACACACTGCCTACATGTTATACCTACGTTATTTTGTTGATCAACCTCTTGTTCCTAAGTTACAACGATGTAAAATCCACGGAAAGCAAAAGTAGAAATTATTACGGTTCCACTTGTTTACTCTACTTCTGCATTTTCTAAACATTATTTATGGGACAGCCTGTATACTCCCATGGCTTAGCAAACTCGAGGAACTCTATCCATGCGGTTATTGTAAGCAGCTTAGCGTCCCCTCTGACTCTCACTTCTGTAAAAGGCCATGAACCAATAACATTAAGGTAATGGAAAGATAAATCAACTTTTAGGAAAGATTGAGAAAAAGTTTTATTTAAAGAATATAAGCTTTTGCTTTAAATTAAATTATGGAATTAAAAGAAACTCTTTTTCATGCCGAGAAACAAGTATATATATACCTTAGAGCGATATTTACACGTAGGTACCTACTTTATCGACAATGTTTAACTGTCACAAAAGTCGTTTATTTTGTTTAAAAGCGCGTAATTAACTGCATTATGAACCTAAACACATTTTATTAAAAGCAGCTTTACGAGCAAATTGTCTTACTTACTTATTCTATGAAAATATAATGAACATCAATAAGATGAATGTGTGATAGGTATGAAAATTACCTACTTTATCATTTTCAGTCGTCGGTAGGTATTTTAAAAATAACCAAAGAGATTACATGTTCATTATTTAACAATAAATAGATAATTTTCATCTACGGCGTGATACGCTGATAACATCTGATATTTGTCATGTTATCAGTGACGACATCTTATTGTTCTGTGTAACTACCGAATAATCCAAAGTAAACCAACGCAATGTGTAGGTACGCATAGATGTTTATCTTTTAACTGAATTTCTCTTACCAATTGATAAAATGCTGTACTGTTAGAAAAGGATTATTAAAAATAAAATTATGATAACCATGACGTGACTGTAATCATTTAAAAACAATTCGTACTTTATTAGTTTTAGTTTGGCGCAAAACTCTACCACGTCAAAGCAATTTATTATCCACTAGCTTTCCGCCCGCGGCTTCGCCCGCGTGGAATTTTGTCTGTCACAGAAAAACTTTATCGCGCGCGTCCCTGTTTCAAAAACCGGGATAAAAACTATCCTATGTTCTTTCCCGGGACTCAAACTATCTCTATGCCAAATTTCATCAAAATCGGTTGCGAGGTTTAAGCGGGAAAGCGTAACAGACAGACAGACAGACAGACAGAGTTACTTTCGCATTTATAATATTACTAGCTGACCCGGCGAACTTCGTACCGCCTTAGCGTAGAGATTTTCTTAATATTTTTTTCCGTAAGAACCATCCTTGGACTTCCACAAACATTAAAAAAAAAGAATTATCGAAATCGGTTCAGCCGTTCACACGTGATGCCGTGACAACGCGAAACGGGTTTCATTTTTATATATATAGATAATAGTTGGGATTCTGTCTGCTCACACGCATTTCAAAGTAATAATCGTATGTAAATGTAAAATGCCAAAATCACAGTTCTGTTCCCACTCATATTATAGGCACCTACAGAAGACTGTGTACACATGCCGAGTGTCGCACACTGCCACCTCCTTGGCCGCGCAACACTGGCCACCAAGAAAATGTTATAAATAATTTTATCGACGACGAATTTCGATATGCTTTTGTTTTTTCTTTCTCGCTCTAGACCTCTTGATTTTTCCCGCGTAATGCATACTAGATACAACTCGAATTTGTAAATAAAATATTCACGTTTAGGATTTTACCCTGTGTCTCGCGTAGATTATAATTAAATACATAGGTATGTATATCCGTTTGTAATTTTGTCTCACTGAACAATCAATTTTCTTTCTTTCTTTTCTTTCTAAATTAATTTCGTCGTTTTCCAGGCTTATCACTATGGGGTGCGCTGTGGTGTTTGTGGGGAGAGGGCTGGAGCATCCAAGGTGCTTGGTTCCGATTGGCGCTGGTGGCAGTGATAGCGTGGGCGAGTGGGCAGGCGCTACAGGCGCTGACGCTACTGCCGCCGCTGTTAGCCGCGCTACTGACCGGCATCCTGGCTAAAAACCTCGGCTTTTTAGACATGAACGAATTTACAGACGTTGACATGTTTCTAAGGTATGTATACGTGGTAGCCAGTAGGGAAAAGTAGAGATACTTTCCTATTGGCCCGATGTACCTAATTAATTTTACAAACACTAGAAAATGAAATAGTAGGCAGTAAGTTTTATTGGTCCATAACCTACACCTTCACGCCGCGTCTTTGGAACAATTTAACATAATTATGTGTGATCTAACAACACATACATTGCCCAATTAATTTTAATTCTGCACTTGCGTTGGTCCTGCCGTCGCGTCTTCACACTACGACAATTAAACTGACTCTACATTATTATGTAGAGTTCCGAGTTTCGTTACCCAATCTTAAATTTATTTACAGGAAGCTATACCCTATCGTAATTCTTGGGAAGGGTGCCCTTGCGTGGGACGTAGGCTTCATGATTCAGAACTGGAAACGGGTAGCGACACTCGGTGTACTCCCTTGGCTCGCTGAGGTCGTGGTCCTAGCGATGCTGGTGCATCACTTTCTTGGATTCCCTTATGTCTGGGGTAAGTATATCTTTAACGCAATCACTTAACGTGCTTGTATTCCTCTTTCAATGAGCAAATATTAGTCAGTCGATAATGTTTGCCAGGTACAGTAAGTTAATTGCAGTACATTATTAATCCCGTAAATTCGTCATTAGTATACTACAAACACTATTAAAAGCAACTACTATATTGACCTCAAATCTTTCAAAATAAAACTCATTTTACAATATGTTCCGGCTGTAAACGTTGCTGTCATAGAAAAAATTATGAGGGCTTTCGCCATGACCTGCATTGAAGTTAACACACTGTACCTCACTATTTATAGATTCTAATAGGCCTTACCTAAAGGCTAATTGTTGTGAATTAGATTACATGTAAGAATTTAAATAACATTGCAGCTAATCAATGCTCAGATATTGACGTAGAAAGGTATAAAATTCCATAAATAAATACTTGGATCATTTCCGCCATGCAATAAAAGATTTCCTTCCTCAAAACTTATCTAATTTTCGAATAAAGAGTACCTAGGTACTTGATAATCTGTTCCGTTTCAAAACTAAATTAGCTAATATAATCCACGTGCAAAGCTTTATATATAAGTACTAGGTATTTAACATCAATACACTATTGACATCAAATACCACTCAACTGGAAAGGGAATTGCGGGAACACCTCCAATAATGGCCGTAAAAATAAAATTTGCCGCGAATAGTAGAAACACAATGCATCGACGTGCGATACAAAGCCAATTCAATAAATTCCACCGTGGGACTCGTATTGCAAAAGATTTGAATGCATTTTCGCTGCATGACGTGATTCGAAAGCCGTCAAAGGTACGGTTTTGCGGCCAGTTTTTAATATTTTGAAGTCTTCTATCTCCCTTACGTTTTTGTTTCCAAATTTTCAACGATTTGAAACCGTGTTATCATATTAAATGTAAATATAAATATGATATAAATAAATTCACATTGATTACCCCAGTACTTAGCAAATAGCACGCTAAACCGCCGACATGAAAAACGTGTAGCAGCCACTTTTATACCGCTTATTAATGAGTGTCGTCTAAATATAGAACGAGACAATTGGCGGAGATTTTTTATTGATTCCTTGATTTCGTTAAGAGAATCTTTTTAATATTATTTAATTAGTTTGAAGTCCTTAGCCTCTTCTTTGTTTAGGTTAAATAAATATTCAAAAAATATATTCAAAGAACATGGAGACACTTTCAGAACACATTTTCTAGTGGCTGGTAAAGTAAGCAAGCTTAATTTATTACAGTTCGTTAGCATGATTACACTAGGTATACATACTCTATAGGACGACTCTAAGACTCTTTTGGAGAGAACTACATATCACCCAAAAAATGTCTGGAGGAACGTATCTTGAGTTGTTAACTTACTAATTGTTGACAATGCTTTCAAGGTTAGCTCAAATGAACTTGTTAATTGAGTCAACTTGGAATTCTTTCCCAAGTACAACACGCCATACAAAATTGCTAATTAAAGACTAATTATTAAACATGATTATGATATTACCGTTTGCTGACAACGTCTCGAATCGATTACATTTGCGAACANGTTTTTCCTACTAGAGGTACAGACCTATGCCAAAAATAGGTCTAGATATTCCATTAACGATTAAAATATTTCTCACGTATTTTAACGATTATGATTTTAGGTTCAGTATCCCGTAGCAAAGGTGCCCTTTCATTTCACGGGTACGTACACTTGGGCCGACAAATCTGGATTATTTGATTTTCAGGATCGCGCCTACTACACACGACAATGCGTGCGCACAGCCACACACCTGGAATTACACAGAACGATTTACACAAACAAAGCATCAAAGCGAAAAACTTTCCAACTGCCTGTTTTGTTTTGCACGTTTACTTTTTTGCGCTGATTCAACTTTGTCCCGAGGAAAGTTTAATTAAAACGAGACGCTAATTGTGATGTAGTGCCTGTCGCTTAGTTTGTACAACTAAAGCTCTGATTGTTTTCTATCTGTGGAAACGAAAATTTACCTCCGCGGAGCCTTTGTTGAGTAGAGCCAAATATTATTTGATAAACAGTGACATCAAAAATCTTATATACAACGTGTCCCAAAATTCAAGGATAAGCCGGCGCCGCAGGGTGGACCTAGTCATGACTGCTTTAGGAAAAATAAGAAAAAAAATCTATCTCAATTATTTTTTAAGTTACACAATAAATTATGAAATTCGTCGAAAATTGACACCCCTTATTATATTTTACATTACCACGACTACAATTTTTCAAATACTTCAGTTTTTTTGTTTGTATCAGCAACTTAAGTAGTGCTGCTGTCCACCCCAATTCTTAAAACCCTCAGAATCCTTGCAGTTTTTACACAAAAGTTAATCAAAATATGATATTTCCTTAAAATTTTGAACGATTTTTACTTACACTCCACTTTGACTCGTCGTTTTGTAAAAAAACAGTATGAACACTACTGCGGCAAGTTTTTTATAAAGTTGACGCAACTATCCAAGATTCCGAAATGGTATAATACACTAAGAAAACTAGTCGCAAAAAAGATATGCGTACCATTTTTACAAGCACTTCGCTTGTTAGTTAGTATGGGATAAATCTTGCAACTGAATTTAAAACCAGTTCTCCTTAACCAATTGAGCTGAAATTTGGTATACTTGTGTAAGTACGATGACAATGCAATATTATGGTACCATTGAGCTGGATGGAGTATGGAGGTGGCCATAAGAACTCTTAACGAAACGGCGGAATTACATCTAGTTTGGGTTCGTTGGACTTGTCTTTTCGAGCACTTTAGTGCTAGACGATGTTCAGGGTCCTGATGATGAAGTCAAGAGGTGGCAGGAGCTGGCCATAGGAACTCCTAAACGAAACGGCGGAAGCTTATCGAGTTTGGGTTCGTTGGATTTGTCTTCCCGAGCACTTAGGCCATGAGATTGAGAAACAACTAAAAAGCTTAAAATAAAGTTGTAATAAAAAAAACTTATTTAAAAACAAGCTTGACTTCGTTTGAAAATTATAATTGACTTCATCATCAGGACCCTGGACATCATCTAGCACTAAAGTGCTCGAAAAGACAAATCCAACGAACCCAAACTCGATAAGCTTCCGCCGTTTCGTTTAGGAGTTCCTATGGCCAGCTCCTGCCACCTCTTGACTTCATCATCAGGACCCTGAACATCGTCTAGCACTAAAGTGCTCGAAAAGACAAGTCCAACGAACCCAAACTAGATGTAATTCCGCCGTTTCGTTAAGAGTTCCTATGGCCACCTCCATACTCCATCCAGCTCAATGGTACCATAATATTGCATTGTCATCGTACTTACACAAGTATACCAAATTTCAGCTCAATTGGTTAAGGAGAACTGGTTTTAAATTCAGTTGCAAGATTTATCTCATACTAACTTACAAGCGAAATGCTTGTAAAAATGGTATGCATATCTTTTTTGCGGCTAGTTTTCTTAGAGTATTATACCATTTCGGAATCTTGGATAGTTGCGTCAACTTTATAAAAAACTTGCCGCAGTAGTGTTCATACTGTTTTTTTACAAAACGACGAGTCAAAGTGGAGTGTAAGTAAAAATCGTTCAAAATTTTAAGGAAATATCATATTTTGATTAACTTTTGTGTAAAAACTGCAAGGATTCTGAGGGTTTTAAGAATTGGGGTGGATAGCAGCACTACTTAAGTTGCCGATACAAACAAAAAAACTGAAGTATTTGAAAAATTGTAGTCGTGGTAATGTAAAATATCATAAGGGGTATCATTTTTCGACGAATTTCATAATTTATTGTGTAACTTAAAAAATAATTGAGATAGATTTTTTTTCTTATTTTTCCTAAAGCAGTCATGACTATGTCCACCCCGCGGCGCCGGCTTATCCTTGAATTTTGGGACACGTTGTATATTCTTTTAAATAAATAATAAATGATCTAATGATTACAAATTGTTGCGAACTTAACTTATAACAAGGTAATGTGACAAACAGATATTTTGAATACCAAACAAAGTCGGAGCATAATAATTAATTACAAAATCACTTATCCATCAAATGCTTTTCTTATTTGAAAAAAATAAGTAGGTTTATAACGGAAGGGCCTAATTAATTAAATTAGAATTGAATTAATTAAATTCTCTATCCGGGAAAGCATTAGCAGCATAATTAAATAAAACTAATGCAAACAACAATAATGCTCATTGTGGCCCATGCGAGTATGTATTTAAAATCAATCAACGGGCACTAATCAATCAATTTATTTAGCACTAGTTTCTGAATGGTACTGATGAATGCGTAATTCTCACTAATTGAACTAGATTATAAGTACATATTTTACGTTGATTGTTTGAGTTTTCGCAATTATGAATTATAATTTCTAATTTAAACTTGGCAAGAATATGTAATTGCGACAGAAACCTCTCCGTCCTTTTCCACGAAAAATCTTTGAATCATTTTGGCGTGAGTAATAAGTAATTTTATTATTCCAAGAATAAACCTGTAGAAAGACGAAACCGAAAAATACATCTCGAAATTATGTTATTAGTGTGAATGTTTTTTATTTCAAGAAATATTTTCCGTATTATGAATCGTTCGTTCGTTCGTTCGTTTCAGCCGAAAGACATCCACTGCTGGACAAAGGCCTCCCCCAAGGATTTCCACAAAGACCGGTCCTGCGCCGCTCGCATTCAGGTACCTCCCGCGACCTTCACCAGATCGTTGGTCCACCTAGTGGGAGGCCTGCCCACGCTACGTCTTCCAGCTCGTGGTACAACAGAATATTCTTATCCTTAATTTGTGTTATTTGTAAAAATGCTATATGTTTTTCTTGTAGGATTTCTTCTCGGCTCCATTTACGCTTCGGTGTCATGTCCAGTCGTGATGCCGCCAGTACTAAGGGTCAGCGCAAGTGCAGGCAGCCCGCGCAACTGGCCGCAACTGGTGTGCACGGCGGGAGGCATAGACACGGCGCTCAGCGTCGGTGTCTATGGCCTGATCTATAGCATAATATTCTATGAAGCCAGCGATGGATGCCGCTATACAAAGGTGAGTTTTTGAGAGCTTTGTAATTTTGTCGTTACATGTACAGTAGAACGCCGATTATCCGAACGCCGATTAACCGAATCGCCAATTATCCGAATCGGTCCTAAGCGTAATATAAAAAATTAAAACCTTGTAATTTTTGTTAGTTTTATTGTAACAAGTTGAAACTCACAGGAGTTTAGATGGTTTAGATATTTTTCAACTGGGCGTTGTTGTAGAACTCTAAACTCAGTTAATAAAGTTTATTCTATGTGTGACAGTTCGTTTTTTACACGTTTTTTCTTTATTACCAGTCTATGTCCGATTATCCGAATTTTCGATTATCCGAATCGACCCCGGTCCCAATTAATTCGGATAATCGGCGTTCTACTGTAATTTCAAAAAAATAATAAAAACAAAAAAGATCTTTTTTTTCTGTATTGTTCAATAACATTAAACTCCCCACCCGCTTCACGCATAAAGTATGTTACAGAAAATACCTTAGGAAATAATAGGAATTAATATGTTACAAAAAGCTTAAATGGATTTAAGGAATTTTCCAATTTCTTAGCTGAGAAATAATTGATTCCATAAACAAACTTTCGTACTCTTTTTCATCCCTATTAAATTATTTTGAGACATAAGGTAGCATAGGTTCTTTTCCTAGATACCTACCATCTTTCTTTACGCCAAAATCACTTCTCTACTGGTCGTGAAAATGTATCAGACAAACAAAGTTACTTTCGTATTATTTAAATTAGCATGGATACTATGAATGAAAACATAATATTCAAATTGAACAAACAATATGGTCCTTTGAATGCAGCCGTTGATTTTAATAACTTCTGTGGTTTGCATAAAGCCGTCCTACCTACCGCACGTTGCCTGATACACTCGTAACACACGTTTAATTATTAAATGCTTATAGCTTTAAAATTTAGTTTCATTAGGTATAAAATAACCCTTTCAACATCTTTGTCATCCTGCTAATGTAAAAACCCGTTATATTTTTGGGATCTTAAATACTTATAATAAGCAGTTCCGTTTTGTCGCTTTTCTTTTGCCAAACGCCATTCCACCAAGTCATTCATAGTTTTAGTACATTTTAATCATAATTTCTAATTTAGATGTTAACATGTACGAATAGGTACAACATAACTATTATGAAAACCAAATAAATGACAACTGAAACAAAGCCACTGTTCCAAAGGCTTCATTTTAAGCAACTGCTATTAACACCTTCTATTTTAGTGGAAATGCCCACAACACTCAGAATGTTCACTGGATCGAATTAGCACACTTAGTCAACGCCTAAATTAATCTAACCAGTAAGCTAGAACATCAATCCCGTGTTAAACCGAAGCAATAATGTACTGAAGCTATTCATTTTAAATAAAGGTTGTTTTTGCTTGACACCAGCTTGAACAATAGGCACTTTGCGCTCCTAAATATAAAATAAAACGTAACTGAAAGTAAATCGAAATATCAAGCCATTATCTAAATCCACAGTAGAATCTCTTAGCTGAAGCGGTGGCCAAACCAATTTCAGCTATATTAAAAAGTGTCAAATAAAATAGAATTTACTTTTACAACATTTCAACCCCAACTGAGTAGGGAGAAATCTCCTAGAACTATCTGAAATAGCTTAAAAATCCGTTCCAATTATAACTTGGTGCAGAAACGCGTGGAAAAGTTAATCCCGTTGACTATTGCAGTCTGACACTGCTGGCAAGTCGCGTGAGCGGCGACCTTTAAACTACAATAGTCGATCTAAAACTTAAAAAGAAAACACCATCTTATCTGCACAGCAAATATTTGTTCCAAAATATTGTTTCAATAGATACCGTCTGCAAATTCCATATCAAATAATAGCTCGTTGTTTTTTATCGTTGTCACTTTATAAAGTGGCTGGGAAAGTATTGAAAATGAATAAAGTTGAAAAAATGTGCAGCAAAAAGTGCCAGCCAAAACTTCCCGGACCCAACCCTTCCTTTTTAGCTTCGCTGTACTCGGCCAAAAGTTAAAGCCATCAACTTCCATGAGGGATTCGATCGATGATGTTTCAATCTGACTACTTTTGTTCCGCACACAATCCGTCATCGCTGTGCTGCACAAACCAATTGATTTGAATGATGTAGCGATTTGGTCAGAATACGGTTCGAAACAATTTTATGTTTACGTAGTGCCGATGAACGTAGGTTATCAGTCAAAAACTAAAATAGGCAAAAGTTTAGTATGCACTATGCATAGGTACTTGTTAGCAGTTTCATCTACCGAGTATTAAAGGATCGGTGGAATATCATTTGAATTCCAGCTTGAAACCATCGGTCGGCAGTAGTTCAAATTCAAAGCGAAATTGTACATTTCATAAGCGGACAAGCCATTAAAACAGTTTCAAGCATGGGTAATGTTGCTGTCAACTTTTACAGGTGCATCTGACGCCGTCCGCAGACACCGCGTATATTGCACGTTGTTTGTAACCGCACTGCGTTCCCGAGCCGTGCAAGTTAGTTCGGGCGAAACGTTCCAAGCCTCGTTGGAACTATTGAAACGTTTAAAAATTCAATTTGCAACAAATATTCAGTGAGATTTCAATAAAAATCTAACGGTGGGATTGACTTCGCAATAGCATTGTGGGATATAGCTGACATAAAAAATCGCGTTAGGATTTAAAATGTTCGTCTATTTTTTGTAACAAAATTTTACCTACACTCACGAACATGACCTAAAGTAAAAAACTCATTAAAAAACCCATAAAACTCATTTATTTTTGCAAATAGGCTTTTAAAAAGCACTTTTACACGTCCCAGTATTAACCCTACCACTGCTTCGGGTCAATAAATGGGCCAGTGCTGAGAAGAACCAGCGCAAGAAACTCGGTCACTATTGTAGTTAGTAACGTTATCAATATTGGTTACATATTTATTTATATTATAATTTTACATAACTCGCTATTCTAATCACCCAAACTTTATGCGTAAGCAAATGATTTTAACTTGGTAATTGGAAGAAGTTGCTCAATTATTATTATTCAATTTACAGGCGGCTCTGACGTTATTCGCCGGGGTCGGATTAGGGGTATTGATGGGATGCGTGGCGGGGCTAATCCCGCACCCGCGGGATTTCTACGTGACGGAGCTACGGATACTGCTCGTCGTGGTGGGCGGGCTGCTGGCGAACATGCTCACTTATATGTTTGGGTGGGGAGGCACAGGTTTGTAGAATATGCAAAGCTTAACTCTGTCAGTATATGATAATGAAGAGTAACCAATATAATTGGTTTTGTTCCGTAATCCTCATAGAATTCTAGCTAGAGATAGAGCTATGGTGGGCACGAAAGTTATAACTATTGTCAGGTTAAGAGTTAACAGGTTGAATAACGTTCCATGTACCTATAGTTGTTAGTAATAAGCAGGGATGTTATGGATATCCGTAACCGTAACCGAAACTTTCGGATATACGAAATAAAAAAATATCTGTAACCGTAACCATAACCGATTCAAAGGTTTCGGATAGTTTCGGATGAAGGCAGAGTCAAGCAAGTCCCTACGCTGATTTAATGAATGCATTTTGAAGTGCATGAGTTTTTTCCCATAAGATAAAGGCTTTTTTATGAGACCAAAAGAAGGTGACAGATGCCAAAGAAATCTATTCTGTACCCATTCTATTCGTAAGATATGAACTGTGTTGGACAACTATTGGAATTTTCATTCTATAATTAGCATACATATCCATAACCGTAACCGAAACTTTCGGATATCCGATATTAAAAAAATATCCGTAACCGTAACTGAAACCAGTATAATATTATTCCAATATTCGTAACCGTATCCATAACCGAAACTACATATATCCATAACATCCCTAGTAATAAGGGGTTTTTGAATACTTAGGTACGAAAATGCTCACTTCTCGTTTTCTCGACATGACTGACTTATAGCATAAAAGTAGTTTTTAATTTTGCCCCATGGGACTAACTAGACTATTCTTGGTCAGAGGAGCAGGGGTTTGCGTATTTTTTAATTACAGTGTATTGAAGAAAATATGTACAGACTACGGGTTTACACTTTCTTGCAAAATTGTTTGTTGCAAGTACATTTTAGGTCACGGTTTTTGGTTTAGAATTTCTATAAAATTGTACGTAGAAAGTTCAATTATTCAATAATATATGAGTCTCCTCCCACACTGCGACGGCCAGCCCGGCCAACTTCCGCGTGTCGGGGCACGGATCGCAGCCAGAGAAACTATCAAGTTTATTTTTTAATTTCTTTGCTTTCCCAAATATTGAACTAGTGCATGTTTTTATTTCTTAGAACTAGGTTTTCTTTTTCAACCGACTTCAAAAAAAGGAGGTTCTCAATTCGACCCGTATGTTTTTTTTTTTTTTTTTTTTTCTATGTTTGTTACGCGATAGCTCCGCCAATTATGAACCGATTTGAACAAATCTTTTTTCAGCGTATAGGTAATATCTCAAGGGTGGTCCCATTTAAATTTAATAATAAAAAAAACAACCCCCAAGGGTGGAAAATTGGGGATGAACTTTTTTATACGCAATATCTCCGCCGATTATGAACCAATTTGAACGATTATTTTTTTGTTGAATAGGTATTATCAAAAGGGTGGTTTCATGCGAATTTGAAGAAAATTTTCACCCCCAAGGGTGGAAAATTGGGGATGAACTTTTTTATAATATACATTAAGAATATGGTCTCAATGTACTGCCTACCTTCAGTGGTAACATCAAGGTAATAATTAGTCAACTAAAAAGCAAGAAATAAGTTAAATTTTATAAAAAAAAATAAAACCGACTCCAAAAAACCTACACTAAAAAGCAGAATAATAATTACTAATTACCTACTTATTTATTAGGACGAATTATTAATATTTATGTAGGTATACCATGATTGATACTTCTGGAGTCGGTGCCAAGATTATGAAACATGTAAAGTTTGCCTGCACCGACTCCAAAAGTATCAATCATGGTATACCTACATAAATATTAATAATTCGTCCTAATAAATAAGTAGGTAATTAGTAATTATTATTCTGCTTTTTAGTGTAGGTTTTTGGAGTCGGTTTTATTTTTTTTATAATTAAATTTTATTATTCATACGCGATTGTTAAAATAGTCTTTTCTGATAAAAAATATTGATTAAGAAAAACTAACTACACAAACAAAACTGGCACGTGAAGTTGGTCAAATTGGCGCGAAAAACAATGTCAATAACTAAGAAAAACAAAAGAAAACGTTTCGAGTTCCAATCTTGAAATTTATTCTTTTTAATTTTGACAACGTATTTATGGCCAGTTATTAAACTGTAGATTACTTTTTTCAGGTGGTGTAGCAGTTCTAGCGTGCAATGCTACCGCCGCGACGTTTTGGGCGCGAGACGGATGGAAACTCAACAACAATCCAGCCTCTACTGCCTACCGCGTGATGTGGTCTACACTAGAACCGATCCTCTTTGCCTACACGGGGACATTCTTTGAGGTGAGTAATCTTATGTAGTTGTCATAGGAGCTATTTTGCAACAAAAAGAAATAGATTTTGGTGTGCTGTAAAATATACCATTTATGTAACTACCTAAATAATTTGGTATGCCTACTCTGCCAGTACCAAATATGTCGTTCCAAAGCATTAACGCCGCTGCATATATTGCTGCTAGCCCGCCACAAGCTATGAACGAAGTTTTTTATATATTTGGTACGGTAATAAATTTCAGCACAGCGTTAGGGATAAATTTTTAGCGTCAGATAACTTTTATTCGTTGAAAAAGTTTTGCATTTTAACCGTTAATATTTACAATACGTTGAATCGTCAATTTAATTCCGGAATAGATCTGGCATTTGGAAAATCGTCTGCTCATATTAAATAATAACTATTAACCGCTCATGTTTTCATCAAACATGGTAACAATTTGTTAGCTTGTAGTAAATTAATCAACTTCACAAAATATATTGGCAAACAATGCAATCAAAAATAAAATCATCAAATTGACATGGTTTCGGGTTTCGAGTGTGTTTGATTACAAAATATTTTAGAGCCGTAAAGAGGAGTGCGGTGTTCAATTTGTTTACGCTGTTTCAAACTATTTTATGAATGTACCATCACAAACACTCCAACAAAAGCAACAACAAGTTACGTTTTATTGATTTAGCGAGCGCAAACCGTTTTTTATTTTATTTATTCAAAACGCAGTAATAGAACGCAATTCAGGCGATCAATTGATCGAAAAATATTGTATAATATCGAATGGATTAACTAAACCTAGGAGTAAATTTAAAAAAATGCCCTAAATGAAATTAAAATTGAACAATAAATTATGAAGATGTATTTATTTTAACTTTGACAAGAACTTTTTTATATTTATGATTTTTACTGGTTCCAATATTGATTGTATTAGTTTTTATTTTCAGATTAACAGCAATGTCTCTACACAATTAGTGCCGGGATTCGCAATCCTGGCTGTGTGTTTATTTGTACGACTGACAGTCGCCGCTCTGACGTGCTGGGACTTCCCGATCAAGGAGAAACTCTTCGTGTGCTGCGCTTGGACACCAAAGTCTATTGTAGAGGTAAATAATATCCCATCAAAAACAATACTTGTCAAAAAAACCAAGTCTCGCAACTCAGTTGTTCTACGGTAAAAAGTTGTGAGATCCATGTAATACCAAGTCCAGGCCAGGAAATCTTTAACGTTTTACATAAATTATTGACTTGGCCATCGCACTAAATAATTTAATTTACACGTGTTTTCATGCGATGGCCAAGTCAATATATTTATGTAAAACGTTAAAGATTTCCTGGCCTGGACTTGGTATTACATGGATCTCACAACTTTTTACCGTAGAACAACTGAGTTGCGAGACTTGGTTTTTTTCGTTCAAACAAACAAACAAAAAACTCTTCAGCGTTTTAATATGAACTTGTTGTTGTTGATTTTTGGCGTCGAACCTTAGACCAGGCATACGGCTAGGCAACGTAGTCATGCAGGAGGATACAAGGAAGAGGGGCAGCCACAGTAGGTAACACAGAGTCGTTCAGGTGAGTGCCAGGAAGAGGTGCAGCAACCGCAGTTAAGGAACGGCTGGGACGAACAAGGATAGGCGCATCAAGCTCGTAAGCCTTGATAGGGTTACACTGGTTGAGGTGGCCCTTTTCAAGACTTGGAAGCCTGTGGGTAACAAACCATTGGACGTGGAGAGGGTCATTAATTATACGTATATTTTCTACTTTGCCGAACTTTAGCGCGAGAACGGTTTGTCCAAAACATATGAATTTGGTCTTATTCAATGCAGGATTAAGTGCCCTTCAACCGTCATGAAGACCACTTTTTGATAGGGTAAGTCCTTTACGCGGTATAACCGGAAAACCGAAAAAATGCCCCTTTCGGGGGCCCCCACCACTTAAGCACAACTTCGTCGAAGTCGAAAACTTAGGAGAGTCTTAATGGGCAACCAATGAAGCCATTAAAACAATAAAATCTTTTGTAGGAATTATTTCCGATTTAAAAGCTAATTCTACTGGACTATGTGTGACCTCAAATATTATTACAATTTTACATATAAAAAAGTATTATACAAAGAACCGCAGTACCTAACGATTCCCTCTAATTATAGAAGACGACTTAAGCTCTGTAGCACAATAGGAATTTGTGTGTCCACATCCGTAGTTATTCAAACAAACGCTCCTTACCTACCCGATCGAATTTCCTGGAAAATTTCCATGTCATAAGGAGCACGCTACTTGTATTCTTGGAAAAGATTGTTTGTATTTCATACCCAAATTGGCCAACTTACCTTTGTAAGTTTCGGGAATCGGTTATTTGTGGCGTGGGAATTGGGTAAGCCTGTTTCGTACGAGCAATTATGGAAGAATAGGTCAAAGAGGCTAAATACTAAATTACTGTCTCGTAATTCAGTACAAGTAGGTAAGCTTACACTATCTTAATAAAGATGTAAATAAATAAATAAATCCTTGGACATTTTACACTGCGCAAAATCCCAAACGTGTACTATGGGTACCAAAAGAAACAGCTACAGGTCCGTATTGTATTTTTTTTTTGTTTGAGACAGCCCTTTATCGAGGAAGGCTATATTTATAGGCTATATGATCATCACGCTAAGACCAATAGAAGCAAAGTATCAATGAAAAATCTTGAAAAGACGGGAAGAATTACATTCAAACGAATTTCATGCTTGATATTTATTTATTTATTTATTTTATTTGGTTTACCAGAAATTGTTACATTGATGCTTACACAGATACATACAGCCATAGTGGTAATAACTAAATGCACAATTAATTTAAGGTAAACACCGCATGCAATATATTAGTTTTGGGCTGACACTGTGTAGGTTTGTTGTCGACACGAAAAGAAGAATATATTAGTAACATCAATTATATACGAAGTTACGGACGATATACGAAGGTATGGCGAACGAACGAACGTCAAAGGTGCGCCACCCCAAGCTTACACTGACATAGTAAATGTTTCTTTCAGGCGGTGCTATGTCCATTGGCCCTCAACACTTTCACCCTAGCAGGAGATTTCGACAGCGACGAGCGTCAGTTCGCGGAAGGCTTGCTCCGACTCATCGTCCAAGCCATCCTCATCACCACGCCTATCGGGTTCCTACTCACGAACCACTTAGGGCCTGTGCTTTTGCGGACGGCTGAAAAGGATTGTGAGAAAGATGGTAAGGAACATTAAAATATAAAAGTCATCAGGATAATAATGTCAAAGTATTTTTTTAAACTATCATAAAGTTGGTATATTTGAAACCACATCAAATTCATTGTTGCAAAATAGTTTTTACTTTTTGCTTGATGTTACTTTGTCCGTAATTAGCAGCAATTTCTTAATATTGGAAATAATAATAGTAATTCTAAATTTTTTACGAAACTAATTTAAAAAACAACTTTTTTTCAGACCCAAGTCCTCAACGCAGAAAATCGATTAATGGATCTCAGAACGATTTGAAGATATGAAGGGACGGGACGAAAATGAGTCCAATGAAACTTAAGCAATAGCTAGTCTGATTAAAATGCTAATCAACAAAGGTGCTAATATAGTTGTATGACTGTACAAATGTATATTCAATAAACTTACCCTCTGTTCATACAAAATTAAACACATAATAAATATTCTGTTGCGTATTAAGTCAAATGTTGATTTCAATAAGACGAAAAAAGACAAAACAGCATCTTAGAAAATCGTAATTTACGATTTTTTTTAAAGACAGTTTTAATTTTGATGAATAAGAGAGTTATTATAGTAATAAAGCTTATTAACAACAAACTTAACTCACAAGATGTATTTATTGTCAAGTAAGAACGAATATACAAACAAATTATTGAATCTAAATTCATTTTTCTTTAGTGTGATTTTGTATTTATATCTAGGAATATTTGTAATACAAACCATTCCTACTTCTCATCACTAATAAAACCGTGGACCATTTAGTTATGTAAGATAACAATTCCTGTAGAAAATTTTACATTTGATTTCGGCTGTAAATTGTGATAAGTTTTGTAATGTTCAAAACATCTAGATCTAAAGATTGGTTACTTCGTTTTTTCAGACCCTGTGAGTAAATATACGTTCGTGATATTTTAGAGATTATTTCGTAGTTAGATTTAGAGACCTATTATATTTAATAGATCTCATAAGTAAACTAGATGTAAGTAGACCATTATGCCAGTAATCGCTATGACACTATGTCAAATTCTCGAATGAAGTAAGTCCTAAGTTAGAAAATAATACCATACCAAACATAATTTGTATAATAAAAAGTATACAATATAAACTCCTGTTTTTATTTGTTACATCGTTTTTTTACTGAGTAAATAACACTGCTTTACAACACCGAATAGAGTATAATATTTTGTATAAACCTGGGAGTTTCAACAACAATAAAAAAATACATACCTACCTGCCTACAAGTATATTCCCGCGTTTTTCCTTCTTGAAATTGTGCCATCTGCGGAAAGTATCGAAAAATAAAATACTCCGGCAGATGCTAAACCATTTTCTTACGATTAAGATTTCGATTCAAGAAAATACCAATAGAGGGCAGCAGGGTGTTTGGAAATCTATTGCAAGACGTTTTCTATTATGTTGGAAGTGCTTGAAAGAGCTTCTTCGAGTTTCCGCTAGATGTCTGACAGTATTCGGAAAACTCCGTAAGATGGCGCTGTATGCTGAAGAATGAGGTTGAGCTATTTGTTTGTTAAAAAACTTTGTTCAACTAGCTACGACTGCGTCTGTTATCATTTGCATTTTGGTATCTTTATGTATAAACTATTAAATTGGTAACGAATTGCAACTCATCGCAAATTAAATAATAAGTAGGTACACAGAATTCAGGAATATTTTAGGCACAATTATGCATTGTTTTCATGGAGTTAACGTGTTTTCAATCTATTGCAATTGCGAAAGAATATGTTTAATTTAAACAATACCTTATTTTAATTTAAATGAATAATTAATTCTTTCAATCCAGCATTAAAATGACGATGATGTCACTGTAAAACAAGATTTTTGCTTCATCTAAATTTTGGTATTGTGCCGTTTATATTAATTTCAACGCGTTTGCCTTGTCGTTGATCTTGTGGGATGATAGGCATACTGTGCGTAAGAACATAAACACGTAAAAGGATAAGAATAGGTTGCGACAGTAAATTACAAAATTATCATACTTACTTCTCTGTTTATCTGTAGGTACCCAGGAATATTTATTTCCTGCAATTAAAACACTAGCCTATTGTCTATTCTATTACTGAGGTGTTATGTAATTTAGGTATTCGTATCCGTCACGTTAAGAGAACACTCAATAGAGAAAACAATGCAAAATCTAATCAACCATTATGGAAAACGATAGTTTCTTGGAAACTAATTGCATCATCGACATAGTTGCACTTAAATAACTTCGGTAAAAATTGTATACAGGGTGTAAAGGACAGATTAGAAGCACTGCTAAAACTTACTGAAAGCACAGTTAAAAACTGAAATTACGAATCTAAATTAGATTGGCCAAAACTTAATTAAACAACTGAAAATCATTAATCTTAATTCAGCATCTCTATTCTATTAAACTGGAAACTAGACGAAAGACGAACGTTTTCAACTCACTTCGTTTTACAATAATTTTGCTGAAAATTCAATAGAATTTTGTTTAAAATGTTGCTATCCATAAAAAAGTGTTCAATAGGTATTAGGCGTAGCTACGAGTATTATGATGGTACGGAACTCTTCATATGCGAATCCGACTCGTATTTTACCATATTTTTCATTACCGGGACTAAGAGTCGTGTACTCGAACCACTTTAGTAGTAATTTTAGTGACATGATGCTTGACTGACACACACTAGCAAATAATAATCTTGCGTGGCAGGTTTCCTCGCGGTGCTTTTCTCATAATTTAGAAAATACCTACTTAAAATAAAATTTTACATAAGCAGTGGTACGAGTTTAAGCAGATGTTCGTCGAACGCAAGAATCTTGGATTTTGTTTTCCCTCTAATTATGACATGAGAATGCGGTAAGTATTGTAACAATATTGTTATGGTTTGGACAAGATTAATAGATTAATACAGATGTTAGGTAGTCGACAGTATAAACTAAACGCATTTTTCAAAGATTTTCCTCCTTCTGTTTTAATTCACTTATCTTCAGAGGAGTCGGCTTTAGATGTCGAACTCTTACACAATTGTTTTTCAACTGTAAGATAAAAGTAGATTCTGTGATGTAATCATATCATTGATCACATCACATACTAACCTAAGTACCTACCTAATATTATAATAAGATAACAATATTTTGTTACCACTATTTACATGCAAGTTACCGTCTACCTAATTAAAGTTATTGAAATAGCTTTTTCTCGAAAATCTTTTGTTAATATTAACAATACCTTAATCTCTCTTCAAGAAAACTGAGTTTTCATTTAATTTTATTTTACCTAATTAATACATTTACAATACATTTAAACATAACGTTTATTCGCTTTATATTCTTAGTATAATTAAGTATATTTTATGTACAAAAATACAAATAGACTAAGAGCTAGTGAACGCCAGACCTAATACGTCATTTTATAAAAGCTGAAAGTCAGCGTATGCTCCCAATATTAGATATAATGTTGGTGAATTATGAAGTTTGGGTCATCGTGGCTTTGGGAGCTACCCTAAAAAAACTGTCTGGCAAGGAGTTGGAACTGTCAAAACTGTTGGGGAAAATACTTCTATTTTTTCAAATATTATACATAAAAAATCAGATTTTATGGCATACGCTGACAAACTTTTAGCTTTTATATAATTACGTAGGTCTGGCGTTCACTAGCTCTTACTCTAAAAACAATCGACCTCCTGAACAAATCGTGGTTCCAGGTTCCGCCGAAATCTTTGACAAAAATCCACAAAATACTTTTCTCTCTATGTGTCTTTTTAAATTACTGGAGTTCTAAATTAATAATAAGTACCTATTTAGAACAAATTAATTACTATTATTATTTGTGTAAATTAAGTTTTCACACACTCATATGATAACACTTTAAAATGTTTACGCACTATTATGAGATAAAAAATAAGTTCTTTGCTCTTTTTAGCATTATGAGTATCATCCATCATTTATCGAAAACATCCTGTTTAAGGTCTAGATCTAAACAACCCAAAAGCCTAAGTAAATTACCGACAGACTTTGTTACCGACTCACGAGTTCATGATTACTGGAACTCAGTAAAATCAGAAAAGATTTTCTAAATTCATTTAATATAATAGATTATCGTCACCAGATGCAGGAAAACTCAAATATTTAAGTATCACTTATGATAATTATCGTTAATCCCACTTAACTCGAGAATTATTTGTGAATCTATTAGCAGCTATTAAATTAAGGCGTAACATTGACAAACAAATTATTGTGCGCTCTACACGTTTGGTCCACTATTGTTTACGAGATCATTCAATTTATAACTTGTTTTAGTCGTACGTGTAAAGCAGGTAAATTGAGGTGTATTTAGAATTGGAGGTTGTCAAAATTGTTGAGAACATTAGCGTAATGGTGTGATAAGAGTGTCATGCGTTGACATCCCTTTTCATTAATGTGAGCGGGCGCCGAGCGGCGCAGGAGAGCGGCACCCGGCAGTCGCACCCGGCGCGCGCGCTTGCCCACGCACCACGACCGCGTAGCTCATCTCCCCAGTGTTAAATGATTGTGTCAATTCCAAACAAACGCGTAACCAGCGGCAGCCCTCGCGACTCCGGTTCAAGGCCCCTACGTGATCACGAGGTGCTAACATAAAGAACCTCCACCGTCACGTACCCCGGCTACCTGAATTAGTTATTTTTTATCGCTACTCTTTCACCTTCGATGTAAATATCTTATCGAACTGTCAATAGGCTGTGAATTTCCTATCTGGTAAAATATCGAAATATTTGAGCGTAGTTGTATTTAAGATGAATATCATCGTGTAGCGAAGATGAAATCGCGCGATCGACACACAAAACAAGAGGCGCGGAGGGGAAAAAAGGAGAAGAAGTCGCCCAAGCAAGAAGCTCGGGGTCAGAGAAGTTCGGGGAAGTCGGGGAGAGCCAGCCCACCGAGCTCGGCGGCCGTCAGGGACCGCGTCAAGCGCTCGGGCTTCGAGGCCGTGAAGCTGCACATTGAGAGCTCTGGCCACAACGGCAGGACTTCACGATCAGCAACTGCGGTAAAGTACTGTTGTGATTCTTTTTACATTACCTTTCATACAAATGCAAATTCCTAGATCAATTTTTTAAAAAAGTTGATAAAAAATGCAATGGACATAATATTTGACTCTATCTATAATTAAGATGTTTTTCGACGCAATGTTCACATTGCGGTTAGGCAATATCATTTGGGCAATTCTAACGACGGCTACTTAATGAAGAGTCAACAAGGAGGTATATGACGCATCCTCACGTGCTTTAGTATCAGGCCGACTTATGTATAACATCAATTTATTTATAATTATACTTTAAGGAGACAAACAAACAACATATTGTTTGAAAACAGGTGTTTTAGCGTATGAGTGTGTGAATACGAGGCCTGTGGGATATGAAATTTACACAAATGTGGCAATGAAATGAAACCATGGCGAAGAAGTCGAGGTTGGAATATTAACTAAACTCTGTTACTTTGTTTACTACGACATGTAAATAGGTATTATTCGCGAACAAAGTGATAAAGTATACGCAGTGCTTCGACTTTGAAGCGAGCACCATGTGATTCGTTTATCACATTTGTCCAGATCGTGACGGACGAAGATTATCGACTGGTGAGGAGGATAAATCTTATCTCCTTGAAAGGTGTGCATATAAATGTCATTCAAAACAAAGAACTGTCAAAAACAAAAATTTAGGACAAGCAGAACATCTGCACTGGAAAAAACTGGAGTACCTATCACTCTTTTTCAACTTTACACAAGCAAAGAACCGCAAATTAGACCACATTTTCGATAATGAAATAAGACAAAGGAGTTTCTATTGATTCTTTTTGCGCGCAAAACTGAAGTAGTTACACCATTAGGTATTGCATGAAAAATTTATTTTCTGACGCGAACAGCTTTTGCAATGTAAATACGTATGAAAATACAATATTTTCTATTCATAGATAAATTACCATACTAGTATTTATGTTAATCAATAAACTTTATAATTGCCTTTTATATAACTTGTATTCAAAAGGGAAAGTCGTAACTAAGTAAGTCTAGAGAGTTAACGTAGAATTGAAGAATA